CAATAGAAATAAAATCAGGTGGTCTAGGTTAACCAGCTGAATCCACCTAACATGCGGTGTGTCTTAATACTCCCTCAGATCTCAATGATTTGTGCATCTTTTAGAACTTGGGAAGGCAGAAGGACTATTGAAAAAAAGTGGGATTTTCTTCCTTGGGACATTTGAAGTCACTTTGGTAGTTTAAGTGGTTTACAGTACAGGCCACATCCTGTGAGCAACCTAATGAAGCGTTTGAGTGTGTGAGTTACTTCCTAAGCAAATCAAGCCCATTGTCCTCCCAGGCCGTGAAGAAACCAACTGACAGAGCAACATGGTGGAGGACAGCCACATTATCCAACAGCAAGCAGTCCTGGCGGCAAATACAGCATCATCATGAAGGCAATGACAATAATGTCTAATTGAGTTTGAATCTCACATAATTCTCATCAATACTCATATGTTATTGGGTCAATAAGATAGCTCAATTATGATCAATATTACATCTTCAAAAAGCAATTGCTTAGCATTTCAATGCCATCTTTTAAAATCTGAAATGGATTAGAAAATTTTACTCCCTAAGGAGCCAAGTCAGCATTTGGCAGAAGGGCTGAAGTTTTACATGGAAATTCTTAGTTCTTTGCTCAGATCTGGGAGAAGGTTAATAGCCACATCCTCAGCTTAGAGAATGTAGCTCATTGCTCAGTCTCCAGAGTCTCATTTTTCCCGTGTTCTTGGAATCGTGACTTTATCAGCAGATGCCTAGCTCTGGGCTGCTGACAAAGATGACTTACAGGAAATGCTGAAGCCAAGAGGGAAGAGGGGCCCCCCCAGGGTTTAAATGATCATTGCTGCTGTTATTACCTTGGAATATAGAATTTTCTTTCACCAGTAATAGTTCTGACAATGTCAAGGCTTTAAAAATATTCAGTCAACTAGGTTCACATACTCTGTCCCTACTGTGTCTCCTAGAAGTGCCAAGGTGTCACAGAGCTCATTACGGTCCAGAGGCACCCATAACCACACAATGCATTTAATTAAAATCAAACTAAATTTTGCAAAGGAAACAGAAAATTTTCTCAGAAAAAATAGTGGCTCCGGGAATTCAAATGTAGGAAGTGGTGGGAGAGAAACTAGCGGATATATGAGGACTGATAGGACTGAACTAGGGGAAACATAGGAGCAAGGGGGGGGGGTCCAGGTAGCAGCAGGTACCGAAGTACAAAGGGATGGAAGGAATGTTGGGTTTTCAGGAAACAAAAGAGATGGGTACACTTAAGGGATTTTGAGCAAGTAATGAAGGAACAAATGCTAAAGCTGTGAATAGATGTCACTAATGGGCTAATTAGTTCATGCAAATGAGTTTAGGTTTTGTTTTCTGAAGAAACCAGTTACTGTAATCAGTGAGGAGAAGTGGCCAGGCTGACTGTTGGTTTGTTCCTTTGCTCTTTAGGGTTATTTCTGGTGCTGCATGGAGTATGAGCTGGAGGAGCAATCATAAGATGAGTGAAAATCACATCAAACCAGGCAAACACTCACCGTGGTTTGGGCCAGGCTGATGCTGGTGTTGCTGAAGAAAAGTGAACACATCCAGGAAACATAAAAAATAGCACCAATGAGGAGAAGGAGGGAAGGGAAATTCCAAGTCTTCGGGCTGCTCATAGCAGTTGCCTTGTTCTGGTGAGGTGCAGGGATGGAGTGGGCTTTATTCTTACAAATACTACCCACCTTGGCTGTTTTAAAGTCCCTGCGCCATCGTCCTCATCCTCATTCTTTCTCTATTCATTCTAGAGATTACACAGACAAAAAATAAAGCTATCCAATGAGTTAGTAGTGTAATGTAGTTGTCAAACCTCATACCTATTTGGGGAAACAATCATTCATTACACTTCCAACCTCTTTTGTCCAAATGTAGTGGGTTCTTGGGACCCTGCGGGGGCAGGGATGAGTGGAGGGTGAGGAACAGATTCCCCCTGTGATACTGCCTGTACCCAGGTGGGAAGAAGAGGTGGGGTGGGTCTCCTTCAGCTCTTGCAAACTAGTTCTGATAATGGAGATAGTGAAATCATGAGTCTGTTTCCTCCGGTCTGCTTGCTTCACATATGGCTGCATGATATGACACCTGATCATCCCTCTGCCTCTTGATGCTAACAACCCCTTCTCAATCTGTTTCCTTCTTTCATGTTCGAGAAGATGTTACACAGAAGAGGGGAGAGTCACAGCTTTCTTGCCAGCCCCCACCAAGAGCAGTACTTAGCCTGTAATCATGCACATCTAAGTGATGTGGGGAGGCCATTGACACTGTTCTAAAAAAGCCAAAGTGGGAACAACTGTGGCAACAAAATTAATTAACAAGTATTACAATCCAAGTGAGAAGTCAAATATCAATCAGTCCATGCTGATATAAATTAATGATGGTATAAGCAGATAAAAATAGAAAATGGGCAAACTCTCTTTGGAGAAGTATTCTAAGAAATTTATGTAGACACCTCAATCCCAAGGATGGGAGAGGAACTAACGTTCCCATCAGGGAAGCCTGCAAAGCGTCGCCTCTGTGGGTGACCAGGAGGATGAGCAGTAGTGCTCATGATGGGGCGAGGTGCCGTCTAGGTGTGCTGTGATGTAAGTGGCTGGGAGGCTCAAGGGGAGGAGCCTGAGAGAGACGGAGATTGGATGCAACAGGGTGTGACCAGTGTGGTGCTGGAACAGAAACGAAGCACCAGCTACACCAAGGAACCCCAATAATGTGCAGACTTTGGTGAGCAGAAATATAGCAGCATTGTTTTATTAATCATGGCAATGTACATGTAAATACTATAAGGCATCAATAACAAATGTAGTGGGGAGTATATGGGAATTCTGGCACTGTCTTCACAAATTTTCAAATAAAACCATATATTTTTTTTTCCTCATTGAGCTTATTGGTGCATTTTAGGTATACAGTACAGTTACCTTCATTATTGGGCTCTTGTACCTTTACATGACAGGTCTTGGTTCTCATTTTTTCCCCTTGTCCCCACCCTGCCTTCACCCCCCCCTCCCCTCCCCATTTACAAACATTTTATTTCCATTTTTTCATTTTATTGTATTTTTTTCCTTTCCCTTATTACCTTTCCCCTACCCTTCCCATTTTCTCTATGCCTTTAGCCCTTCTCGTCCTATTTCACAATGTCAATTATCTCATTAGGATCTTATGTACTATTATAGTTTATTCATATTTTGTCAAACTGCACTGCCCTCACCCTCCTCCCCTCCCCATTTACAAACATTTTATTTCCATTTTTTCATTTTATTGTATTTTTTTCCTTTCCCTTATTACCTTTCCCCTACCCTTCCCATTTTCTCTATGCCTTTAGCCCTTCTCGTCCTATTTCACAATGTCAATTATCTCATTAGGATCTTATGTACTATTATAGTTTATTCATATTTTGTCAAACTGCATTAAAAATGGGATTAGAGGTAGAGTCATTCTTCCTGACAACTCAAAGTGATGACTTTAACAGGAAGAAACAAGCAAATGTGCAGATGGACTGGTTAGCTTTCAGACTTGTAGAGTCCTTGTTTTGAATTTTCTGATTGTTTGTTGTTTTCAACCTGTTTATTGTTGTGTTTTCAATTTCCAAATTACAATGTTGAATGAAACAAGGATTGATGTGACTTTTTTCCTCCCGGATGGTGAGGAAGTTCACCTCCCCACTGCCTGCCTGCTGGTTACAGGGCTCCAAGGCTGAGTTCTTTGAGAGAGCAAAGGAAGCATTGTGAAAGCTGACCAAGAAAGACTGGCTAAGTAGTGAAAATTGTGTACACAGTGTAATAAAAAGCATTCTACCTAATGCTCTCTATAGTTTTATCATCAGAAAACTATCACATATCTTAGAGCAACACCCTATCAAATTAATAATTCAAATTTAATTATTAATGTCAACTACTTCTCCCTCCTGAGAAATTCTATTTACTTGGCTGGGAATCTACTCTGGTTTAGCAACTGAGAGAAAATAAACAACATGTCATTCTTTTGAGATGGATGAATTCTGATTTCTCATATCTTAGAGAAATTGAGCCAATAAGGACGGAAATGAAAAGGTACGCTTTGGGACAAATTTCTCCAACACAAGACATTGGCAGCACTCACAGGGGCAGAGATTTGAATGCACACTGTCTTCCCTAAAGCTGCAAATTCTCAGAACTCTCATTGTGTTAGGTCACGGACAACATGCATTGTTGTCATATTTCTCCTCAGGTCTCCATCGACGTATTTCTCCAGTGAAACTTAACTGTGCATTACCCAGTGTCTAAAGTTTAAGTGTCGCAGTTTACATTCCAAGCCTTCCACGTTTTACTTAGCTTCTCTTATGCTTCAGCAGGCAAGTGGGCAGGGAGCCCACTAAAGTATAGGGATCTGAGCTCATTTGCTTGGGACAAGGGCTACTAATCCATCCCTGTGAGTTAGCTGTGACATTTCCCAAGTGGCTGGCAGTGGGAGGAAACAGGGGATGAACTCTTGCAGGGGTATCTGCAACGTGCAGCAGGCCCACCTACATCTCAGATCACATATCCGGTCAGCTCTATGTCCAGCGTATGCAACTGTGGTATTAGAACAGATCAAGTGGATTCCCCTTGTGAGGTCAAACCGGGTGAGGATTTGCACTTACGACCCTTATAGTCTTGTCTTCCTCATTTGGCTACTGTTGTATTCAGTCTCCTTGATAGAAAATTTCTTTACTTATTACTCATCCTTCAGTGGTGAAAAATTTATGACTTTTAAATTTTCAATAACTAATATGTAGTATCTTTAACTAGTTATGTTACCAGGTACTTTTAAATTAACAACTCTCTTTACAAAACACTCATTATTATAAAATATATGGAGAGCAAGTGGAAATAGTAATATATCCCAACTATGTAACACACAACTGAAAACAGTAATTTATTCTAAAAGCCATCATTGAGCCGACAACTGAGGTTTTGAATCCTAGTGAGCAACAGAAGTCACTACACTAGAAGCTTTCGAAGGCAAGGGCTATGTTTAATTCATTTTTAGGTTGCTCTGGTCTCTTACATGGTCCACGCTTGGTAAGTATGTGCTGAATGGAAAAGCTTAATGGAGTCAAGTCCAGCTGAGAGCAGACAGCTTCCTCCTCTTGCTTGAATTGGAACAGAATATCCCAAAACCTGGTAAAATGTTTTCAAAGTAATAAAATATTCCAATACATCAGTAAAGAGCTCTGGTTAAAAATGGCTCACAAATCCATCACCAAAAAGTCCTTTGAAAAATAGGTTTTGCAAAGATGTGATCTTGGACATTTTCACCATCGTGACATGAAGCTGGATTGTGTTGGCTGAGAGGGCAATCCCAGTCACAGCCTGAATCTAAGCATACTCCAGTAGGACCTTGCATCTGATTGAGGAGAAGTTGAACTGGGAACAGCCTCTGTGCCTCACTGCCAAAGCCATCTGTCCTTCAACCACTAACCAGGATTCAAGATTTATCCTCAAAACAGAGACAGAAAGAGATGCCAGACTGCAAAGATTTTATTACATTTTTCCACCAAAGAAATGACAGTTATTTCCATTCTAAAAGAACCCCCATAGGTGTTAGAATCCAGAAGAAATTTTAACCTTTCTTTGGGTCCTTCCATTTCATAAAAATCTTAGTTCTTTTTTTTTTATTTTTAAGTGTGTATGTAGGATATACTGTTCTTTAAAGAATACCTAAACATGGAGAGCACTAAATCTGTTTATTATGAACCATACCAGCAAAAGTACATTTTTCAATATCACCAATAGTTTATGATCCTGGAAATTCTTAGAGAGCTTTGAATTTGCTAAACTTTGAACAAGATGAAAAGCTGTTGGAAATCAGTGGAATTACTTTAGAGATCGTTCTTTAGGACAATGAATTAAGAAACTGTCAATTCTATTTTTAAGGTTGAATTTACAGGTAAGGAGCCCCAAACTCGTTTTTTCACCCAGTGTATCTAAGGAAGAGATAACACCTACTGATTGGGGCAGCATATGTTTGTTTTTTTACCTCATTCATTTTCATAGTAATCATGTAGAGTCGCAGAAATGACGGAAGACCAATAATATTCCTGAAAACAATAATGAACATTACTTTACCTTTATCATGAGGAAAATACGAAGTTTAAAAAGGGTAACCCCCTCATTCACATTTAGCAAAGCACATACAATGTGCCCTGTACTTTGTCATTTCTTTTTAAAAAGATTCATTTCTTTTTCAATCATTAACTCCAAATAAGTGTACTGTAAAATACAGGGAGGCAGCTCACCCACAATATAAAATTGGACATTCCTAGTTATTTCAATGGAAATACAGTTTGACTAGTAGATACTGCATATCCCTATCTTCACAGCTAAGGCTATTTTTTGTGTGAATAGTAAAGGACTTTCTAATTTTCAGGTCCCAGGAGTAAAAATATCCCATCTTCATCTGAAAAGAATAAAGCAATCAGTTTACCCACATCCCTCGATCCTGACTCCACCTCACCGAGTATGCTTTTATTTTGGGTCCATCCAACCCGCATGAGAGCCCACACCACATATTTGAAAACTCCCCATATCAACACCATAATTAATAAAGTGGTGGTGCTTTCATGTTCACACATATTTATGTGGAAACTTGGCTAAGTTTATTTGAGTGTTTTTTCCCCTTATGTTTAACAGACTAATGTGTGTTTACTCACAGTATAGTTTCTCAAATAAGAGTTTTCTGATAATTTGTACCAAGCACTTAAACAGTTTCTGTCACACAGTAAGAATAAATAGGCAGAGGTTACCATTACTGTACCACCTCGGGGCCTATTTTACAATCATCGTTATGCACACCTCATCAGCATCCCTACTTCCTATGCAGCTGTGAATACAATCAAGAATATGAGAGATTTGATAATGGGAATTCAATACCTACATTCATTAGCTGAATAATTAACTGTCAAGGCTGAAGAGTGAAGAAGAAAAATCACCAGAGGAGCTTCTGACAGAATCTTCAGTCTCTCTTCCATCTAACAAATTCTTCCATCTCTCCTGGGTTGGCACGTGAGCCTCCTCGTACGTAGCATAATACTTCATTGATTCTGGATGCCTCCGCCAGACAAGAGGGATCACAGAGCCGACCCTAGACAGTGCTTTGCTGTCAGACACAAAGACACAAAACAAAGCCTGTACTCAGAAGAGTAGTCAGAGATGCACATTCAATAATACTCCTGCTAACTGTGGTGAGATTCAGTTCAAAGTGTTCCCAGGCACAGTATAATGTTAGGGCTGCCCGCTCATAATCAGCATACCTCAGAGATGAGTAGGGGAGAGGTCACCAACAGTAGGACAGAGGGACCTGAACACCCATAGATCCAGAGCGAGGCTTACTAGGTACAGCAGCAAGGATGAGTCCTCACCTAACAGGACACATCACCTGGGATTGCCCCTGGGGTGGAGGGAGGGAAAAGAAGAACTTGTTTGTAAAAGGACAATAGGCAGGAGACAGAGAAAAGCTCTTGGTCCACGCCATCCATGTCTTACACTGTCCTTATCAAACCTCCATGGCTGCTGCCATCATTTGTCACCGCCTAGAAACAGTTCCACATGGGAGATGTTTCCATTGACAAAAGCCAAGTTTGAAAGACAGTTGTGATAAAGGAAGAACGTGGGATTTGGATCAGTGCTGACACCAAAGCCAGGAAGATCCCCGGTGCACTAGGGCAGGACTGCAGCTGGAGAGATGCCACAGGCAAAAACCCACTGGGTGCCAGAGGCAGAACTGCCAACAAATAAATGTGATTTGTGTGGGTCTCTACTGAGAATAACACTTCTTCCCCCAGTGGATCCAACACCAAGAACTATCTCAACTGACTCAGTTGGAAAATGGTGGGAAGTCAGGGTGACAAGTTAATCATTTTAAATAGAATTAGAGATGGTTATTAATTTTCTCAGAACACCCTCTTATGAGGGAAACAGTTGCTGAGCAGAACAAAATGTAAATCACAAGGTCTTTAGTAAGCAGAAAAATTAGAATAATGAAAAGTGACTTGCTTAAGGGATTCTCCATGAATCCAGGAAACTTATCTATCCAGGTCACCATTTAGAAACAGTTTCTAGAGTCAAATCCCCATCTCTCCACAAGGCACTAACTGTGTCTGAGACCTCCGATTCTATGCAAATTGCCTGGTGTGGTTGAAACATGAGGATCACCACAGCCTGGGCTACAAAAGGCCGCATGCCTTTGACAAAATGGACAGATTTCTCTCCTCTTGCACAGCTACTGAAGGCAAAAGTGATAGCTTTCCTAGGTAGCTAAGGCTGCAATTTTGCTGAGTTCTTGAGTCCAGCACAAAGAAGTTTATCTTGTATGAGTCTTTCTGTATCAGGTGAACGCTCTGGAGACTTGTGTGAAGAAGAGCCGTTTTGCTGCCTGGGAAGAAGCAAATTGTCATGTCATGAATGAATGGTGGTGACCTCCTGTAGCGAGCCATGACATCAGGATCCTGCCAGTAGGTCCTAAACCTGAAAGGAAGGGCAACAGGAGAGAAAACAGTCTCACGGACTTGGTTCCAGGCTCATGCTCTCTTCGTAGCAAGGCCCCGTTTATTTTTCAGGGTGGAGTATATATAGGCTAAAACTGAAACCATAAGTGTGACTAGGGCGTAGCTGACTGCAAAGGTCACAATGCTCTACAAAACAAGTATTATGGGTTACATTTGCTAGGCAACAGGTCAGACCACCAGTTGAACTAGCCCGTTGCTATGGGTGATGGCACGTCCCTGCCAGAGAAGTGACTCAAAGTTCAATCATGTCTGTGCTTACGTCAAGGCTCACCACAGCCTCCAGCACCCAAGGGCAGATTCCAGCCAACAACCAGTGGGAAGCCAGGGTCCTGGATCATCCGGGACTGGGAGGTTAACTCTGCCAGCCTGAACGGGATCCAGAGTAGCTCTTTCCCAGGAAAACCTCCAGGGATACCATAATTCCACAGGGAGAGACCCTGAACAGGGGACACGGTCTGAATAAAAACTGTGCATCGTATTCCTGATTGAATTACAAAACACCCTGGTTTCATTAGCTGAACATTCAGGGAAATGTCTTCTTCTATTAGCAGATCTCATTCAAAGAGTGTAAGTAAGTTCTTTCTTGTTTGTTTCATTGGTGAGTTTTTTCCTATCTAAAACCCCCCAAATCTAGCAGCTCATTCTGATTGAGCCTTCTGTTCAGACTGTAGGATAGATTTTACTGAAAATGTATCAACTACATTTTCAGAGGAAAAGCAGTGTGATTCACTGATTAGGGCCTCACCGCCAGGAGGGCTGCAGAACTCATCAAAATCTCATCTTACTCCTCACCCTTTCTTAAGGTCAGTGTTTATATTATTTGCAGCTTTCTGCTTATTTGGAATGCTACCACTTACTTTGCATTTAGAGGAGCATTGGATTGGTTCTGAAATACTAGGATAAACAAAGTACAATGAAGACAATCTCAAAGTGGCAGAGCAACTCCCTGGGGGGAGGAAGTATGGGCCACCACACACACTGGCCACCACCCAGCGATTACCAGTCCACCAGCAGAAGGTCTTTCATTGTAACTTTCTGCCAAAATCCATGAAAGAAGAAAGGATCTAGGGTATGAGTTCTGGGATAAGCAGATTTTTCCTAATTGAACTGTAAGGACAGACTATAATGTGCTAACCAGCCTAAGAAGCATCCTAATGTTTCTTGGAAGGCACCTGAATCACATGTCTCACATCATCCAGTGGACAACGGCAGCGCACTGAGGATGAATGAAGGATTGCTCTCTCCACTACTCATATACTGGGAGAATCCCCTAATGTTGGACAAAAAACTCAGCCCCTCAAAGTTCACATGATACCCATGGTTCTATCAAGACAGGAATGAGGATTAGACAACTGAGTAACAATGGAAAACAGGCAAGGGGGAATCTTCTAGAGAGCTGTCAAGGTCTGGATCTAGCTTTAATTACACATGGAATTCTTTTTATAAAGAAGTCTAAAAGCCTGTGCTCTTGATCAGTGTGCTCTCCAGTGAGTACACTACACTTCAGTAAAGAAAGTTCACTGAAAAAGTGTTATCCAACAATAAGGTGTACTACAAAAGGGGTTGATGGGTAGTTTATGTGTGTGTGCACTGAATTCCCGATTAGATGGAATTTTCCATCCCGACCTAACACTGGAGCCTGCGCAGTAAGACTCCGGGGTGAAGGCGTGGAGGACTCAGGGGCCAGGTCTGGGGCGGAGCCAAGAAAGGGAGGGAGGACCCCACCCCCACCCCCAGCGCGGGCGCAGTCACTCTCCGCAAACTGACCAGGGTCTTCCCTACCTGAAGACAAAGTGCAGAAGAGCTAAGGCCCAAAAACAGATCCATCCCATGGTGAGCCCCATCTTTAAAATCATGTCCAATTCATTGTCCCATTTTAAAAGACAAGCTTAATATATCGCTAAATAGAAATACTGTGTATCAGCTTAGAATGCTGAGGGTTATACACTAGCGTTTGTCTTATCTCACAGATCAAAGCTAAGCCAGGTAATAATGGCTGTTATAATAGATTTGCTCAAAATAAATCATGTATAGCAAGTAGTTGGATGGCAATATCGGCATGTCTTAGCTAAAATTCTAGCGTGGAGCATTCAGTGCAGAGCAGCGGTTCTGGTTTTGTTTATTTGTTTGTTTTTGGTAAGAGAGAAAATCGTTACCAACTTTCTGGGTCCTGTCTGGGAGGAGGGCCAGCCCCGAGCTGGGCACGCAAGGTCTGCTCCTGCCACGGCCTGGAGCCCTGGGGAGGTGCCAGGCCGCCTTGTGGGGAGAGCACAGCCTGGGCTGCACCTGGCCCCAGAATCGCTCCTGTTCTGGGAATAGGGCCTCCATGGCCATGGCTTCCCTCGGTCCTCAGCCTCAGGGGATGATTCTAGAATGCCCTCCTCGGGGGCCTCCAGGGCAGCGGTCTAGAGGAAAGTGAAGATCAGTGTTGTTACCTGAGGACTTTGCGTTTCTATTTGCCTCATTTGTAGATTTACTTGACGAATCCTGGGTTAGGAGTATGAGATCCCGGAAGGACTCCATCTCCCCAGCCATCCTCAGTGTGACCTCCGTCCCACTGACAACCACCTTGTTTAGATTTGGATTGCTGTCCATTCAGGAAGGTTTGACACCACATGTCAGAGACTTTGTCTGTTTAAACAATAGTAATGATAACAATGAACAAAGGTCTGTATTAACACACACACTAGGCGGTGGATCGTAGAACTCTCTCCGTGTTCTATAGAGCTCTCTTTCTCCCTAAAACAGCCGTGCTGAACTCGGGCCTGAGTAGGAAAGACCATGGAGCTGAAGCTGCAGGCCCTCGGAGGCATGCCATGGCATTAGTAGGCGGAGGACCGAAGAGCAGGGGGCAGCTAAGGAGCGTTTGAGGACTTTCTGTGTGCATCTCAGCCCACTGATTCGGGTGCCCAGGAACCGGTGCTGGGAGTGACGCCTGGAGGACCCCTGACCCCCTCAGCGAGCTCGTGTATCCGGTGGGAATGAGCGGACCCTCAGGTCAGGTGATGGGACGGAGCCCCTCTACTCTCTGGCGGGGAGAGATGCTCTCACACACGAACAAATAAACGGTGGTGGGTTCGACTGGAAGCCCTAAAGCACATGGAAGTGTGAGGAGGTTCAAAAACCATCAACCTTGTTTGCCCTGTCTGCCTGTTTAATTTATTTGGTGAATTTAATCGGAAAGGTTTTAAAGTAGAATACATAATCACCAAAAGCAAATCACCCCAGAGGCGGGTGCACTCCTGTAATCCCCACACTCTGGCAACCTCATGGCTTAGGACGACCCTGCCTCCAAATAAACATTTTTAAAAGGGGAGGGAAGGAAGCTCAGTGTGAAGATCGTGTGTGTGTGTGTCTCTGTGTGTGTGTGTGTGTGTATGTGTGTGTGTGTGTTGGAGCGAGAGCCTGAGTGTGTCAGACGCTGATTTCA